GGTGTTGCTTGTGTTTTTCCACATAACTTAACCCGGCTCAAGTTACGTGGGATTGACCTTTGTTGTAAAGATTTTAACTCTAAATACAAGGGGGAGGAGCCATGTCGTCGGTTCTGTGAGTGTTCATTACAGTAGTCCAATTCGTCGCCATGGGTAGAATAGGGGGAGGGGGGGTTGGGAATGCAGGGGAAGGTAATGTAATGGAATGGATTGTTCGATTGACGTTAGTCTTGGGGGAGGGATGAAGGGAAGAGGTGGGGGAGGGAGGAGTGAAGTGGGGGGGGATGGTGGAGGGGGGAATGTGGGGAGAGAATAAGTAGTCGATCAGTGTTTAGGTGTGGTAACCCACGATGCTCAAATTATGAGGTTTAATAGTTGGGTGGGTAGAGGCGGGGTAGGGGGGAGGCGCGGAGTTAGAACTCGTGAACGTATGATGTTGTTTAATGCAAGTTATGGAACATTACAGTATCTTCAAATGGGTTTTCACGCTATTAATAGGCCTTATGTAATCCACCAATAAGGATTACAACAGCACACAGTATGGCTGCAATAGGTAAGAAAAATAAAATATAACATGGCCAAATTTTTGCCCTGCATAATTTTTACAACCCACCTCACGCCTAAAGTAAACCGAAAAATGCTTATGTATATAGAAGATTTTCAACTCAATATCACATATTGTTTCACCTCTACAAATATCTGCTGTCACTCATGGGACACCCTGCAATAGTATAAGGACGACATGGGGTATGCTGACAAATTAATGCGACTTACCTGTTGGTGACGACGATGGTAGGAATGAGACCTCGGCATGTTTCAGTGTTCGACCTCACCTCCTTCCCCTGGTGTGGGTGGCGCCAACCTTGGTAACAACTTGTGCATTCTCCGTGACTACCATTACTGGTAGTCACAGAGAATTAATTACTGGTATGCCCATCAGTCGCACCGTCGTAGCCATGAACAGCAGAGAAATGGTCGTTGTAGTGCTTTTATTTACCCGTTACACATCTCTCACCATGCTTAATAATATTAACTATCTTCATGACATTCTTATTGTTATCAGTGATTGCGGAATTCACCTACACACAGCCTGTTACTAGACTAACCCCCACCTCCTCTATTTCCCCCCCCCTCCAACACTACAGTGGGCGACATCTGTTGGCCGACCATAGCATTTCCCCCAGCTGTTTCGAAACTTCAGATTCAAGGCTATTCGAACTCTCACTGTGGCTGGGGAGTGGACACGACTTTTGTGCACGATAGTACAATAACATCACCAGGCCGTAATTACAGTGCAGTAATATCTTCATTACCCAGAATGCTCCATTAAGTACTCAGAATTGAAATTGGCTCGGAGTTTTTTCAAGAAAATTCTCTCCATTCTGGGTCTGTTTACCAGTTTTCGAGGTTGAAAATCGGGTTCATTTTCTGAGAAAATTCCGAAAAATCTTACACAATACGTTTCCAGGCCTTGGAGCAAATTCCGAGGTTAAATATCAAGCACATTTTCTGGATTTTTTTTATGAAAACTTCCTGAAACTCTCCAAGTTTTTTCCCAGGTCTCTGAGGATGAAAGAATGTTTATATTCTAGGGATGTGGAATTTTTCAGGGTTTGAGAGTCTTCTTGTTATCCGGGGAAATCTCTCGTCCTCGGAAGAGCTCTGCACCAATTATTCCGACTAACGTGGATATCACCTCTATGTTGCACTTTATAGAGGCCGATTCTTTCAAGAACTTAAAATGTAATACATTAATGTACAGTATATCATCACAGGAACCCTGCTGTACCATACTCAGGATAAGCAATATTAGACAAAACAGCAAAAAAAAAAAAAAAAAAAAATCTATCCTATCTTGGAATATGCGTTCCAACCCTCTCGAGTTGCGCCGCTCGTGTTACTAAATAGTAGCCCGATGTTCGGGATTGACATTCGAATTTGACGAATCCATTTGACGGGTTACTAATTACAGTAGTTACCCCGACATCGGGATTGCTCTTCGGGCTTGTTGTCTCGAGTGTTTAAGAAATGGCCGATTGAGGAAAATATCTGGAGTGAGCGGTAAGTGTTTGTTCACTCATTAATTTAGTTTACTGACCATCAACATCGATTGTTATTACGGCCATAGTCATGTTAGTTTGATCTTTTCCTTTGTTTCTTCCTTACTAACTATTTTCTTCTTGCTCTCCTTCTTGGTCTTCTAGGGTTGGTAACGACTCGTAGAGATTAATTAACTCTGATGATCTTATTATCATTTCTATTTCTTCTTGTTCTTTCTCGTTTTTCTTTTTCCGGTTCTTCTGTTTTGTTTCGTTCTTGTTTCTTCACTACAAGGAGAGCCTCAATATTCCATATTGTTCAGTTGGTTCTGAGGTCGCACCTTAGATACCCTGCACTTCTCCCTCCACTTTGGGACACTCCCGGTAGGAGGAGTGAGAGCCGCTACGAGCTGCACATTTCTTGTTGGTCGCCGAACACGTGGTATGTAAACAGACATCTTTCACTATTTCTGGGCATAATCACATCTCCACAAGAGATGTTAAGAAATAGGGCATGTCAAGTCTACAGTAAATTTATTTTACGACTAAAGTTATTCTTAAATATACCAAGTAAAAATAATCCCTGTATAGCACTTTTCTAAGCATGTACAGTAAAACAATAGGGATATTCAGGTGAATTAGTAGAAGCAGCTGAAAAGAGGGTAGAGATGTATATCCTTGGATCACGGTGCACTACCCTGGCTGAGTTTTGGATCAACTGCCCTTCTACCACTGTCCTCCGAGTATTTAAGGGCTACGGGAGTAGGAGGAGCTTTGGATTTAGGCGGGAAAACCTTAACTACGTGTTGTAATCCGCCCTTCTTTAAGTGATTTGACCCAATTAATAGTTGGTTGTGCAAGTGTTACAGTAACGTAGTTGATATGCTCTAAGTGAAGTCATATTTACGTCTTTAAAGTCCCCTGAAATGTGATGTTGTCACTGTGAGTAAGTGCCCGTCCCTTCATCCATACAGGTCCCTAACGCAGCCTAGGCTGTGTCTGTAGCGTGGATGTTGTATCCACTATGTCACCTACTTCCCTTCACCATAGTAGGAGAGCCACCTACTTCCCTCCACCATGGTAGGACAGCCACCTACTTCCCTCCACCATGGTAGCACAGCCACCTGCTTTCCCCCACCATAGTAGGACAGCCACCTACTTCCCTCCACCATGGTAGGACAGCCACCTACTTCGCTCCACCATGATAGGACAGTCACCTACTTCCCTCCACCATGGTAGGACAGCCACCTACTTCCCTCCACCATGGTAGGACAGTCACCTACTTCCCTTCACCATAGTAGGACAGCCACCTACTTCCATCCACCATGGTAGGACAGCCACCTGCTTCCCTCCACCATGGTAGGACAGTCACCTGCTTCCCTCCACCATGGTAGGACAGTCACCAGCTTCCCTCCACCATGGTAGGACAGCCACCTGCTTACCTCCACCATGGTAGGACAGCTACCTGATTCCATCCACCATGATAAGACAGTCTCTCACTATCTCCACCATGGTAGGACAGTCACCTGCTTCCCTCCACCATAATAGGACAGTCACTCACTTCCCTCCACCATGGTAGAACAGCCCCCTACTTCCCTCCACCATGATAGGACAGTCACTTACTTCCCTCCACCAAGGTAAGACGGTCACCTACTTCCCTCTACCATGGTAGGACAGTTACTTGCTTCCCTCTACCACGGATGGACAGTCACCTGCTTCCCTCCAACATGGTAGGACAGTCACTTACTTCCCTCCACCATGGTAAGACGGTCACCTACTTCCCTCTACCATGGTAGGACAGTAACCTGCTTCCCTCCTGAATGGTAGAACAGTCACCCGCCTTCCTTCAACCATGATAGGACAGTCACCTACTTCCTTTCCCAATGGTAATACAGTCACCTGCTTCCCTCACCCATGATAGGACAGTCACCTACTTCCCTCCATCATAATAGGACAGTCACCTGCTTCCCTCCCCAATGGTAGGGCAGTCAACTGCTTCCCTCCACCATGATAGGACAGTCATCTGCTTCCCTCCACCATTGTAGGACAGTCACCTGCTTCCCTCCACCATGGTGGGACAGTCACCTACTTCCCTCCGCCATGCGAGGACAGTCACCTGCTTCCCTCCACCATGGTAGGACAGTTACTTACTTCCCTCTACCATGATAGGACAGTCGCCTATTTCCATCCACCATGATAGGACAGTCATCTGCTTCCCTACAACATCGTAGGACAGTCACCAGCTTCGCTCCACCATGGTAGGACAGCCACCAACTTCCTTCCACCATGGTAGAACAGTCACCTACTTCCATCCACCATGATAGGACAATCACCTGCTTCCCTCCACCATGGTAGGAGAGTCAACTACTTCCCTCCACCATGGTAGGATAGTCATCTACTTCCCTCCACCATGGTAGGACAGCCACCTACTTCCCTCCACCATGGTAGGACAGTTACTTGCTTCCCTCCACCATGGTAGGACAGTCCCCTGCTTCCCTCCAAAATGGTAGGACAGTGACCTACTTCTCTCCACCATGGTAGGACAGCCACCTACTTTCCTCCACCATGGTAGAACAGTCACCTACTTCCCTCCACCATGGTAGAACACTGTACACCACACTAAAAAATTATTCGCACCCGTAGGATATTGTATCACTCTGTAAGGGTGCCGAATAATTTTTTAGTGGGTGTACATGATACAGGGTACTTGTACACACACACACACACACACACACACACACACATGTATACATGCACTATACATACATGTACACCCACTTAAAAATTATTCGACACCCCTACGGCGTGACACAATATGACACAGGTGCCGAATATTTTTTTAGTGGGTGTACAATGGACTATATCCAACTAGACATACATTATAAGACCGAACAAAGAATATTGCATTAAATATAACTTTTGGTGATTATGAATGAAACTAATTCTCTTTTGTGTTGACAGGATGAATGAACACAAGTGGGTACTGAGTGCCTCCTGCTGCGGCTGTAGCCTGAGGAGCGGCACCCTCGCAATTGGTATACTAGGTGTGGTGAGTAGCGAGCATTATACTCTACCAGTATCACCTCTACACTTGTACTAAGACCGTGTTTAACCACCACTCCCCGTTAACTGTTGTAAAAGTGAAAAATATTTATTTTGTAGATCTTCATATATACGGTATTATTATTATTATTATTATTATTATTATTATTATTATTATTATTATTATTATTATTATTATTATTATTATTATTATTATTATTATTATTGTTATTGTTATTGTTATTGTTATTGTTATTGTTATTGTTATTGTTAGTAGTAGTAATAGCATTATTATTATTATTATTATTATTATTATTATTAGTAGTAGTAGTAGCACAAATTGTTTTTGTGCGAGAAACAACCGACCATGTGTGGATTGCAGGAAGCTAGACCAGTGTCGGAACCCACATCGCAGGGAGCCGACACAGGCGGCCACAGTGGATATCGCCGGGACCCCACCACCCGATGATATCCGAAATGATAGCAGTGAGTCTACTCAACCCGAAAATGTAGTACTAATAAATGCTGCTCCCTCAGTAGCAGGTGTCCACGAGGAGAATGAGAGACAGCCGCCTCAGTGGAATGGCATGTCGATGGAAAATGCAGGCGTATGGGTCAAAGAAACCTACTCAGAAATTGTCAAGTGGTCGCCTGCTAACTTATTTGAACCACCCAAGTGTGCGGCCACCAAAGAAATGATTCGGGAGATGACTCGCTTCATGACTGATTACACTCAGGACCGCTTCCTCGCCCCCCTAGCTCTTCAAATACTGGCAATAATACCACATCTATTTTGTCAGAGGACACACACAAAGGCTAAGCACAAAGAAAATGTGGCAGCAATGAAGAGAAGATTGACAATGTGGCAGACTGGGGCCCTAGATGATCTCCTATGTGAAGCAAGAACACTGCAGGAGAGACTAAAATCTACGGGTGACGGAAAGCAAAACACCGATGACGTGGCAAGAAAATTTGGAAACAAAATGCGTGTGGGAAAAGTGTCTCTCGCGGTAAGATCTCTCACACAGGAATCCTCCGGTGGGGTGATGCCAATAAACAGAGAGACATTAAAACTATTGAAAGAGAAACATCCCCCTGCAAGCGAAGATGAAGGCATCAGGTTCCAGGGTGACTATATCCCACCAAATGCTGTCCTGTTCGAGAAAATAACAGGAGAGATGGTGTGGAAAAGGGCACTGAAGACTCGAGGAGGAGCCGGCCCTTCAGGTCTGGATGCAAACGGTTGGAGAGTCATCCTCAGCACAAACAAGTTTGGCCCTGTAGCAAGCGATCTCTGCACTGCCATTGCCGCCCTCGCAAGAAAGCTTGCATCCTCTTGCTGCCATCACCTCCAGGCCCTGACGGCCTGCCGCCTTATTCCTCTGGAAAAGAAACCAGGATGTAGACCTATAGGGGTGGGGGAAGTGCTGAGGCGGATCATCGGAAAGTGCATAATGGAGGTGGTAAAGGACGATGTCAGGGCAGCAGCAGGGAACCTACAAGTGTGTGCTGGCCACCAGGCTGGTGGGGAGGCGGCCATTCACGCCATGAGATTGATATTTGAGCAGCGTGATTGTGAGGCCGTTCTCCTGGTGGATGCTTCAAACGCATTCAACATACTTAACCGCAAGGCTGCACTGCACAACATCAAGATCAAGTGTCCTAGCTTTGCGATGTATGTTGAAAATTCGTATAGGAATCCTTCAGACCTCTACATAGTAAACAACAAGGCTCTACGAGGTGATACCATCCTACAGTCGACCGAGGGAACAACACAGGGGGACCCCGTTGCAATGGCAATGTATGCAATTGGCCTATCAGTGCTCCAACAAGAAATAAAATTTGAAACAACTGGGGTCAAACAAGTGGCATATGCTGATGACCTTACAGGAGCAGGAAAAGTGGAGTGCATCAAAAAGTGGTGGGACCTGGTAACATCGCGAGGTCCACAAATAGGGTACCTCCCAAACGCTAGCAAGTCCTTCCTCATCGTGAAGCCAGAACATTATGAACGGGCTTTGGAGGTTTTTGGCGGAAGTGAGGTCAAAATAACTAAGGACGGCCAAAGACATCTAGGCGCTGTAATTGGCACTACGGACTTCAAGACCGAGTACGTAGCGGGAAAGGTGAATGAGTGGGTTAGCGAAATCCAAGCTCTATCTGAGATTGCTAACACAGTCACATGCGGCCTTTGCAGCATTCACCCATGGAGTCAAGCATCGCTGGAACTACCTGATGCGTACCATCCCTGAGATCGGACCCCTCCTCCACCCTCTGGAAGAAGCTATCAGTGTCAAGTTCATTCTCAAACTAGTGAAACACCCTGACTTAACCCCAGCAGAAAGAACACTTCTTGCACTTCCACCAAGACTGGGAGGGATGGGACTAACTAATCCAGAGGAGATTGCTGACACTGAACATCAAAATTCACTTAAGCTCACGGCAGCCCTCACTGACCACATAATAGCCCAGAATGCAACAGGGGAAGTGGACACCAGCGAAGTAAATAAGATCCGTAGGGCCATTGCAACAGATCGGCAGCACTGCCAAAATGACATGTTGCAGCAACTATTGCTGCAGGTTCCAGAAAATTTGACAAAAAAAGTAACTATAGCGCAGGAGGTGGGCGCCTCGAACTGGTTAACTACGTTACCGATAAGGGCAAATGGTTTCAGCCTTAACAAACAAGAATTTACAGATGCCATTGCTCTTAGGTACGGTTGGCCAGTGGATGGTTTGCCCTCCCAATGCGTGTGTGGCTCTTCCTATGACGGCGATCACGCCATGGTCTGCAAGAAGGGGGGCTTCATTTGCATGAGGCATGACGAGGTAAGGGATCTCACAGCAAATATGTTGAAGGAAATCTGCCGGGACGTCATGGTAGCACCGACCCTCCTTCCACTGGATGGTGAGATCTTCCAACACAGGACTTCAAACACATCTAACGAAGCCCGTGTGGACGGCAGTGCTCGAGGATTCTGGACGCTGGGACAGCGAGCTTTCTTCGACATCAGGATTTTTGATCCCATGGCCACTTGTCACCGTAACCTAGCTCTCGATGCTGCACATAGGAGGAACGAGAACGACAAGAGAAGGGCGTATGGGGAGAGAATTCAAAACGTTGATCAAGGCAGCTTCACTCTTCTAGTGTTCACAACCTCTGGTGGGATGGGCCCAAGTGCAAGATGTTTCTACGCCAGACTCGCAGAGTTGATCTCCGAACAGAAGCAGCAGCCCAGAAGTTATGTTACAGCCTGGATGAGATGTCGACTGTCCTTCTCTCTCCTTCTGTCGGCTTGGCTTTGCTCTGCCTCAGGGGAACGAGAGCTTCTGCCCCTACTCCGACAACTGCTGCAGATATTGACTGAGGCTACAGTCACCGAATGCCGCATAGATCTGCGGCTCAACTAATTTAACACATAGGATAGCTTATTATGTATTAGGATATTTAATATTAAGGTAAATAAATGGTGGCGAAGGTGTGGCTATTGGGGGAGGCTGGAGGCCACGTTTAAAAAAAAAAAAAAAAAAAAAAAGTAGCAGTAGTAGTAGGTCCATTACAACAGATCCGGCAGCACTGCCAAAAATGACATGTTGCAGCAACTATTGCTGCTGGTTCCAGAAAATTTGACAAAAAAAGTAGCTATAGCGCAGGAGGTGGGCGCCTCGAACTGGCTAACTACGTTACCGATAAGGGCAAATGGTTTCAGCCTAAACAAACAAGAATTTACAGATGCCATTGCTCTAAGGTACGGTTGGCCAGTAGATGGTTTGCCCTCCCAATGCGTGTGTGGCTATTCCTATGATAGCGATCACGCCATGGTTTGCAAGAAGGGGGGCTTCGCCATGAGGGCATGACGGTAAAAAGGGATCTCACAGCAAATATGTTGAAGGAAACCTGCTGGGACGTCATGGTAGAACCGACCCTCCTTCCACTGGATGGCGAGATCCTCCAACACAGGACTTCAAACACATCTAACGAAGCCCGCGTGGACGTCAGTGCTCGAGGATTCTGGACGCGGGGACAGCGAGCTTTCTTCGACATCAGGATTTTTGATCCCATGGCCGTTTGTCACCGTAACCTAGCTCTCGATGCTGCGCATAGGAGGAACGAGAACGACAAGAGAAGGGCATATGGGGAGAGAATTCAAAATGTGGATCAAGGCAGCTTCACTCCTCTAGTGTTCACAACCTCTGGTGGGATGGGCCCAAGTGCAAGATGTTTCTACGCCAGACTCGCGGAGCTGATCTCCGAACAGAAGCAGCAGCCCAGAAGTTATGTCACAGCCTGGATGAGATGTCGACTGTCCTCTCTCCTTCGGTCGGCTTTGCTCTGCCTCAGTGGAACGAGAGCTTCTGCCCCTACTCCGACAACTGCTGCAGATATCGACTATGAGGCTACAGTCACTGAATGCCGCATGGATCTGCGGCTCAACTAATTTAACACAGATAGGATAGTTTCTTATGTATTAGGATATTTAATATTAAGGTAAATAAATGGTGGCGAAGGTGTGGCTATTGGGGGAGGCTGGAGGCCACGTTAAAAAAAAAAAAAAAAAAAAAAAAGTAGTAGTAGTAGTAGTATTGTATAGAAAGTTGTATATTTATAATATACCCGGTAAATGTATTTTATTTATATAAATATATAATCACTGGCATTTTCGCTTTAGATTGGTTGTATCCTGAATATCATCAGTGGCATCTACTTAGGTGTGAAGGGTAAGTACTGTACTCTCTTATTCACTTCTTTTTAGAAATTAAATAACTTGTTAATGCAAACATAAATTCGTAAATGAAAGAATTGTATAATTTTTAAACAAGATGACATTGAAAATAATGGGAGTAAAATACATTAATATAGAAAGTAACCAAGGACCTTATAAGACTCATTGTAGCTACACCACTTGATATTACCCTCAGGTATAGCCATTGTCCACAGATGGGTTCCCACTAGTGACTGTGCCAATTAAATAACATTTCATTTACACCTGATTATAGTAATTATGTTTTATGGCAGATGGGTGACGGAAAGTGGATGGAAGGATAATGTAAAGCAGACAAACAAGCGTGGATGTTAAGGTGGATTGATAATGATAGTTGAGGGATAACCAGATTAAGATATGTGAATTAACGGCAGCATTTAACAAAGGCCTAATTCACCGATGTATATTTCTTTATACTTTCAGGATTCGCTGATGGATGGATAACTATGGCAGTGAGCATCATTCACTTGATCGTGAACATCCTCCTCATCCAAGGAGTCAAACAGGTACTTGTATTAAAACTTCATCTCCTTTAATGATTAATTTCTGTAGACATTTTGTCATTTTGTTAAGTGGGAGAAACATGTGAAAACCTTAAGCTTCAATGTAATACTGTCAATCAGTAGCCTACTCTGCCCACATACTTGCTCTCACTCTCTTTCTCATGTGATTTAGTTATTGCATGTATTTTATATTTTACAGAGCGTGTATCTTAAATTTTTATATTAATGTTAATCAAAGATAACTTCTTTTAATATTAGGTATGTATTGTAGAGTATTAGTTTGTCTTGAACACAAGTATTTAGACAACTAAATATGTGTTTAAAGTAATTGTTTATGTAAAAAGGAACGCAGTGATAGATTAAGTATATGTACCTCCCGTCCCCCTCCCCCGCCCTCCCCCCCGAAAAAAATATATATCGTTACCCATAGGTTTAATGTGGTCGTGGTTTTATGAACAGTGTTCGTCCACTAGTTTTGGAACAGTTGGGTACAGAAGACCACAATGGTACTGGTATACACCATTACCTACTACGTGGGTCAAATTATCTGGAAACACTTTCATGCAGAGAGAATTGCCAGATTTCAAAATGACCAGTAATTTAAGTTTTATTCCTGTAGATATTTCATAAATACATTGTTTTGTATATTTGAATACTGCTACCGATATGGGGCGCAGGCATACTAACATATGACGATGCACTGGAGAATATACTAAAACATTTCATCCGGGGTTTGAAATTATAGAGACGGAAAAAATAAAGATACTGTACTTTTGGGGGGACTGAACAGTAATTCACATTAGGTTCAACTCAGTTTCATAAAGAATTTGTTGAAATGACTATCTAAATATATATACTGTATTTTAACTCACAGGAACGACGCTCGTTTGTGATGCTGTGGGTCTGGGTCTCGATTATCTGCGTGGTTCTGTACAGCATCTTGGCTGTCGTTACCATTATCGTCTCACTCAATATCGCATATGCAATCACTGTCTTCATTGTAGTGGGTGTGATTATATACTGCATTCTGGTAGTACGCTCCTACGCCCTTTCTGTAAGTATAAATATTTTTAAGTATTGTACTGTACTTAATGTAAGAATATACACTTATTTAAACTTTGATATATATATATATATATATATATATATATATATATATATATATATATATATATATATATATATATATATATATATATTATATAAGCATCAGCTGTCATCAATCCATATATGGATGAAGGCCACTCCTAAACTGTACACCTCCATATTTTCCCAACTTAAGAATTGCTGTCCAGTAAATACCACCAAATTTCTAGGCATTTTCCTATCTTTAGTTTATTTGTGGTCTTTTCTTTTTACAGCCTGTTCTGTCTACTACTGTGAGAAAGATTTAGGAGTAATGATAAGTAGGAATCTTAAACCAAGTCAACAATGTGTATTTGCTCAAAACAAGGCTAACAAAGTACTTGGGTTCATACAAAGAAGTGTTAGTTACAAGACTTGCGAGGTTATCCTTAAACTATATCTTGCGCTTGTGAGACCTCACTTGGATTACGCAGTTCAGTTCTGGTCAAAGTACTACAGAATGGATACAGAATCCCGAGAAAGAATTCAGAGGAGAATGACAAGACTAATACCGGGCATTAGGAACCTTGAGTACAGAGACAGGTTAAAGCATCTTAATTTGAACTCCCTCGAGAGACGTAGAGTGAGGGCGATATGATCTAGGTGTATAAATGGAAGTCAGGGCTAAACAAAAGTGATATAACAAAGGTACTCAAACTATCCAACCATTAGCGAATTCGTAGCAATGGTTTTAAATTAGACAAATTTAGATTTAGGCGCGAGATAAGTAAACATTTGTTTGGAAATATAGTAGTGGATGAGTGGAACAAGTTACCAAAAATCATCATTAACTCGAATACGCTGGATAGCTTCAAATATAGGTTGGATGGATATATGAGCGATAGGGGTTGGGTGTAAACGGGACTGCTCGGTATGGGCCAATAGGCCAGCTGCAGTTTCCTCCATTCTTAGGTTCTTATGTACTAACATTTGCCCGTAGAGTGATATTTCTTAATTTAGTTTGTAATCTGTGAATTCGGTTGATGTCTTGTCTCTTAAGATTTATGACAAACATACATTTCTTTATAATGTGTAGTGTGTGTCATCAGCAAGTAATTATGTCTACCATGGGCAGCCCGAGATGGAGCAGGTGACATAAATTAGTCAAGGCTGGGAAAATCGTGTGGTCGTTACTCAATTGTTTGGCTTTTTCTATTATTCGGTCACTATGATTTCCCCATTAGGGAAAAGATTCCAATTACAGAAAAACAACTCTATCAATAATCAACTAGTAATGGAAGAAGCCTTAACTCATTAATATAATTTAGAAATAAAGCAAGTAGATTCATATTTCTATGACAAATCTGTAATCAAGATGTCAAATTTTATAAAGCTTAGTACTGTACATCTGGATGGAATATTTGTTATAAAATCGAGTCTTGAAATTGTGTACAGTTGTGCTAGAGAAAGACTATCTTGTTCAGTACACCGATCCTATTGTAAACTCTGATCAAGAAACTGTATAGAATAAAATATTCATGAATTAGAATCTGATCAAGAAACTGTATAGAATAAAATATTTATGAATTAGAAAATGAACACAAATTCATTTTATCAATAAAGAGGATATGAGATTTGTATCTTCCTTGTGCTTCAATAAAACCTGATTATCCGAGGCACCTGGATAATGGACGGAAACAAACAGATCCGATGCGAGTTACTCTGCTTTTAAGACAGAAATATGTTCCATGTAAACCTGTTTTAGGAATAATTGATAAATACAAAGGAAGTTTGTAATATTCTATAAAATTACAAATACATATTGTTGTACTGTATATACTCCCAGTGACATAATTATCTGATTCCTGGCGGATACTCGACTTCTCAATAGTAGGAGGGGAAATGAGGCTCTCAAAGCTCCATTTGGCACCTTCCAAATAATGTCCAAAAGCTTATAGTACAATACAGTATTCCAATATTAGTTTGATATATCAAGTTTTCACCAGTAATCTCATATACATCTGTATGCATGTGTGTAGTTAGCTGGGTGTATGTAGGAAATAAATTAATCTCTTAACTTTTCCATTCCAGTTGGGAGCAACACCCACCGTGGCATAATTCTCTTTACATCCTCAAAAAAGAGAATACCAATGGAAGGATTGTACTGTACTCTCATTTTCATGTTAAGAGAGAAATGAAAACAAGTTGTTGAAGTCCAATTGGAAGTGTCTAGAATGTTATCTAACATTTAAGCATGATTAAGGTTAAATAAACTGTGTCCTGCCTCACTACAGTATGTACTGGTTATTTGTGATAAAATTACTGTACAATAAATCCCCAATTTATACGTGGGTTACGTTCTTGATAATCTTAATTTACTGAATTTGTGTGAATCAAACTTAAAACCTCTTCTCTAAAATATGGTACAGCATTTGTACAGTACTATACCATGTTCCAAAACCTTACGTTTTACAGAAAATTAAAATTTGTTATAAGTTATTAAATCCTACACACTACTGATACAATATACAAACACTGTACAGTACATGGAAGATAAACACAAGAAACAGCGAAGCAGAAATTAATGTTTCTAATTTTATTTTATTTTTATTTTAATTGGGTTCATGTTTTTCATAAGTCATGTACAATAAATATTTAGTAATTTATATAGAATGGAGGATGCATTTAATTTTTTTTTTCAAAGTTTGCAGCACATTAGGAAGAGAACTGGTGTGAATAGAGGGCTTACGGTACAGTGTGTTTCACCTTGAGGAGACATACTGATATTATTGATATTGGAACGGTTTATTTAACCAGACAAATACAGATACAGAGTGGACAATAATAACAATATTGACATGGCTGAGCCAATTGAAAGCCTGAGCTCTCTTAGTGGCCTGGCCTGACAAGTATCATCTATATTATAAATATGTTTTTAAGAATAACATAAGATATTAGATTATAATCATTATTTTTTGTAACATTACTATGTGTAAGACATACACACATCAATATTTGGGTAAGAGATATTAAGTTATCAAATGTGCATTGACTGTACAGTATAACCTTTAATATCTAAATGCCACTGAAATTCTTGGAATTTCTTCTTCGCATTGGTTTGAAATATTCCGGTGTTAAGTAAAGTACATATAAAACAGTGAATATCCATGGCATCCAACGAACATTTTACGTTGTTTTCGGTATTTAGGCTTTATGATCTAAGATCTAGCATCAACCATTGTGTTCAGTAAAATAAGTTTGAGTGAATCACTTAAAGGTCACTGCCAGTCCCATATTTTATTCAGTGTTATTTTTGTACGTTCCATAAAATGGGTAAAAACTTAAAGATAATTATAGCCTAGTTAATGGTTTAGCTTTAAGCCTTTTTAAAACTTGTGGAAACAGTGTCAAGGACTCTTACCTCTGAAGCTTGAGGTCATCAAACGAGCCACATCAACACCTATTGACATCCATAATAATTTTAAATCGGGTAAAATTGTTTCTCTATACTGTAGTTAGAAGTCAACATGTTGTTTGAGGAACATTACAGAATAAAATCTTTCTTGTGGGAATTATACAATATATACCATCACAATTCATACATAATACTCTACAATAATAATTAAAACTCTACAATAATAATGTTGTATTAACTTTACATATGGACGTTTTTTACACTTGAGGAATCACTGACACACACACACACACACACACCATCGCTTATGTTCACCAGTATATCCCCCTCCGGACTCTCTTGTAGTGATGCCACTGGATCAATTTTGCAACAATTTTCGATTCTTTCCTCACTGATGGCATGGCAGGTTGGCCAGATGTAAAGGAAATGCTTACACACATTTTCCCTTCACTTTGTCATTTATTCAATATTAATTACTGGTATAAAAGACACGTTTCGTTAGCTCCCTTCCACAAAAAGCTTTATATCTGCTGTACACCTGCAATGATCCTTCACATACACTGCTGTTCCTTGGAGGCTGATGATTATTCATAATTCAGACAATTCTATTAGTATATGCTGTGACTGGTAACTAAACCTACATAATCAGTCAGAACTTAAAGGCCTTATATCAGACAGCATACTTCTCAGTCGTGGTTTTGAGTGACGTCACACCTGTCCAAGTCATGTAATATATTAAAAGTGGTCGTATGTTTCATGGACTATTTTGCATGAAAACGTCTTATTAACAGCAGACTTCAAATTCATAGGTGTCGCTTAGCAAAACACTTTTCTTCTGAAGTTATTCACGTAGTTATTGTGTGACCCCACCAGTGTGTGTATGTGTGTGTGTGTGATAGTGTTTATTTGGTTGGTCTTCATTCAAAACGTTTGACATGCTCTATGTCTTATCACAATACGCGTTAAAGGAAATAATATGTTTGGGACTAACTGCTCGTGAAATTATGAAAGGATTGAGGGGAGATTTGAGGTCGAGTGAAGGTTCTCTGGCTTCAGGACGTGAGAGGGAAAGGTAAGGTTGGCAGAGATCGTGTTCAACATCAAATTTTGTATCGGTCAATCTTTTGCACGTGGATAATATAGCAATCTACCCTCTCATTATAATCCACAACTCATTTCATTTGGGACAGTCTCCGTTCAATCACAACCAACAGAAAATACAAAGTAGTGTTGTTTGTGACACTGGCTCTCTACAGTTTGCTCTCTAAAACTGCACGCTAGGGTATAATTCTTACTAATTAGACCCATGTTTGGGATTTAAGACTGGAAATATTATTTGTTCCTGTTTACTGCATTCAATTTTGGTGTCTGTAGTGAAGGGAGTTGCATGTT